CGAGTGTGAGTGGTGTGTGGTATGCTTACCGTGACTTCTCGTGTTCTCTTCTTGACGCCTCCTTCGCACGACTTGGAGCACTCACCCCAATCCTTCCACTCGGCAACCGCACAGTCGCGAACTGACAAACCATACACACATCCATGTGTTAGCCATGTGAGTGTGCTGACGATGAGGGTACCGACCTTGGAAGCACTCGTCGTTGTCTCCGCGGACGTAGTTCTCTGCACAGACGCACTTGCCCACCCCGCTGCCGGCGCCCGGCTCGCCCTCGGGAATCCGCTGCACCTGCACACACAGACGGACCAACCACAGACACACACGGACATCCATGTGCGCATCCCTTGGATGTGGTTGGTTTGGTCCTTTACCTCGCAGACTTCGTTTCTATCTTCTGAGCATTCGATCGTCGAACACAGAGACTCACAGCGACCGAACCTGCACACAGATAATACACAACCCACACCATCCATCCATCCATCCATCCATGTGTGTGTATGTGAGCTGACCCGTCGTCTTGCGATTGGCAGGTCTCATTCCACTTGCAGTAAGATGCCAGCTCAGTGCATTCCAGACCTGCACACCATCACGCAGACACACAATCTCACCCACATCCGGCGGCCGAGTGGTTCTTTTGTCACACGCACCAGGGTCGCAGTCGCCGCCGTCGAATTCGCATGCATAGTTGTAGCACGTCAAGTCACACACCGAATCGTTGACCCACTCCAAATCTCGGCAATCCCCAAAACAAGTGTCGGGAAACTCCCTTCTGTTGGTGCCGTTTTCTGTCTGCTGGTCGGCATTGATTCGCGGCACGCCGCGACAGTCATCGCCGTCCCAGCCGCACTCCTCAGTGAAGCATTCGGGGTCGCACACACCGTCGGCGTACCAGTCCTCTGACCGACACACGCCGTTGCAGCTGGAGGGAATCGACGAGGGGGACCCTGATGCTCACACACACACACACACACACACACACAGAGATGAATGAGTACGTGTACTTGCCTGTGGGTCTGTGTATGTGTATTCCGCACCTTGCAGCCGCCTCCTGCGCTGTGTGATCTTCCTGATGTGGCTGCTGCTCCCCCCGCCCCCCCTGGCCTGTCTGCCCGATCCGTCCCGCCAGTTACCCCCCATGTAGACGACCAGCAAGCCGAGCAGAGCGATGCCACACACAACAACCGAATGCACCACTCGCGACATATCTTATCTGCCTATGCGCCACGAGAGCTCGCTGACGAATGAATCAAGGAATGAAGGAGTGGGTGAACGAGTGACAGACAGACAGACAGACAAGCGAGAATAACAGACACGTGCGCTCGCTCAGTGCACGCAGTGGACGTCGGCAAGAGGACAAAGAGAGAAAGAGAAGCAACAAGCAGACTCGCTCAACAAGACCTGCTCTCTCCCAATCAGACAGACAAACAGGCAGACAGTCAGACACGCACCAGGCTGCTGTGCTGCAAGCCGCCCACCGACTACACTAAAGAAGGCAAGCAACTGACTGACTGACTGAGCTCCCGGATACAAAAAGAGCACTCAATCACTCACACCCAACTCACAGCCGCACAAGGGAGGCAGAAACCGACACAACACACACACAGCTGATCTGACAGCTGATAATTAGATCTGATTTGCCCTTAGGTCCGCCAACACGGGTCTGCCGCTGCGACTGAAAGGCACGAGAGCCTCCCTCCAAGATGCCTCGCTCCTTCAGGCACAGATCACCCTCCGATAGCCGCGGTGTCCGGCTGATGCTGTTGCTTGGCGCATGGCTGTCTCGGGCGGCGTCTGGTCTCCACGGCGTC